AGAAAAAAATATAGGTGGGGATGATGCTCAGTGTACCAGCCTGGCACCACCAGGGCTGTGGATGCAGGAAAGAGCCCTGAGAGCTGCCGAGGCAAATTCTCCACCCACTCCTCCAGGTCCCTACAAAGCATATCATGGCCCCATCAGGTGGAGGCCAGGGCTCGTACCAGCACTGGGACTGCAAATACAGAGGAGCCCGCACAGGACCAGAGAAGGCCAGCTCCCCCTTTGAAACACACAGGTGCTTGCATCTGCCTTCCTAACGCTGCTGTCACGCCTGGAGTGACCCAGCTGGTACCACACTTGCTGCCAGCATCGACTCTCCCTGTGGTCCTCAGTGATCACGCACATCGCGCCAACGGGGCCACAGGCAGCAGTCACGATAACACAAGGTCCCACTGCAGCTCCTTTCCCGGGGGGTTGTCCACTCCTCCCCCAGCACACCCCAGCTATGCGGCTTCTAACCCAATTTCAAAGTTTCTCCTGCCTTCTTGCGCTGGCGAACACGTGTGAGAAGTATGGAACAGTGCCTTGAACCCAGCAGAGTTTAAATCATCAAGCAACCCTTGCCAGATATCCAAGCCAACTAAGGTATTTGCTGGCTAACTCTCAGTCACTCAGAATAACCTCTAAGGCACTGATTAACTTCACCCAACCCGACCTTGCTTTTGCACACACTGCCTACGTGTCATGGTGCTGCCAGGTTTGGAAGGTACACTCATCCTACTACAGAAGGGAGGGGAGGGCAGGACGTTCTCCGCTTACACCTCTTCAGCAAATGAGCGGTTCCATTACCAAATACATAAAACAATCTTTATTGATAAAATGCTGTTTACTAAACTAATCCTTTTTCCAAAGATCATTTTTCAGGGCACTATATAAAGCTGCAAATAAGAACATGGTTTAGTTTTTACTAATAATTTTTTTCCCCTTAGACTTTATATTAACATAAAAGATTTGGAGAGTATTTTTTTCCCTTTTACCTCAGAGCTTCTCCCCCTACACTGCAGATCAAATATCTTCTTTTCTGAAAAGTCATCAATTTCCTGAAAGAAAACTGTTTTCCCACTCACTTAGTAGTGTCCCTAGACAAGGAAAAAAATGTATTGGTTAAGTGGTGAAAAGAAATAAAAAGGTTGAAAGGAAAACATGCAGGAAATTATACCTAATTAATTTAATCACAATGACCATAGTACGGAAGGGAGGGAAAAGAAGTGGTGTTCCTGAGGGACAGAGGCTACATGGCTCTATCCTATGTAGGGGAGAAGAGAATCACAGAATCATTAAAGTTGAAAAAGATTTCCAAGGTCAACACGTCCAACCATCAACCCATCACTTCCATGACCACAAAACCATGAGGAGTCCTCCTTAAAACATATTCAGTGCGTGTCTTGGCGCTGTCCCCTGCTTGCTTT